AGCAGATTGATAATACCCAACATAGTGCTGTGACTGCCTGTAGAAGATACAATAGTTAAAGAAAAATGAATATCAGCTCGCGTGAAATTAAATTCCGGATATGGAGGTGTTGGAAACCGGAAGCGCTAAACTTCGTATTCGGTGCGATTCGTGCGATAGGAATCGCACTCTTTACTTTTAATGACTTTTTGCTGTCTTCCGTTATTCAGACACAACACTTCACTTTTGCATTTCTATCAATGTTTACTTGTTGCTATCAAAAAAGTTACCTGCCAAGAAAGCCACGAAAACGTAAACACCGAAAATCATGCCGGCGTGATGGTAAACATGCAGAAAGGTGATTTGATTGTTCTTCTTGCGCAACACAAAGAAAATCTGCAAAAAGAAAAAAAGAGGATAATATAAAGGTATTATTTAGTGTGAAAACAAAACAAAATAGAACAAAGTGCATATATACATATGAGTGCATTAGGGTGGTCCAAAAATGCATATAAAAATTAAAGTCGTAATTTTTATGCGCTCACCCCCTAGGATTGTTCTATACCGAAAAAATATACCTCTATTTTTTTATTTTGAAATCAAAAAAATATCTAGAGGTTGCCCAATGCGCTCAAAGTTTTCCATGTATTTTATATGGGGAAAGAACGACTTTTCGTAGAAATGGAATAGAATACTTTCGATCGGGAAAACTCTGTTCTTCTCCAGTAGACTTTCAGTAGCAATACCCAATAGTATTAAAATTCCGACTTTACTTGTTTTGGACCACCCTAGTGTATATACATACATATGTATCTGAGCGAGCCATTGTGCATTTTAGGAGGTCAAAGTGCGCTATGAATTGGGACTGAAAGTTTTAGCAACATTGTTGTTACAACAAAACTCATAAACTGATAAGCTTTAATGGCTTGACCTTCAACTAAGCTCTTTCTAAATACACTCAAGTCATTTGACGCTACCTGGGATAACGTCGATTGAAAATTGAATTTTGTTTACTGATAGTAACCAAACTGACAGCGGAAATTCACCTACAAAGCAACAAAAGGAACATTTAATTATAGATTCTTCTGAACTCTTGAATTGAACATCGACTACGCGTCCTAATACATCTTGCGCCTTGACTATTGTAGTGCCTTTGTAGCTGAGCTGAACCAACGACAAGTAGGCAACACTGGTAAAATGGCATGCTAAATATAAACGGAGAAACATCCTATTCCTATTCTAAATGTCTAGGCGGCTTTCAAATTCATAACCAAAATTTTTACAACTTCAACACCAAAAATATATAAACGGCATGGCTAAGTCATTGCAGCTGCGACTCGGCACTATTCAAAAAATAAAAATCCTTAGTAATGTTAAGTGGCTCATGTCTTACTTACTTACTTTAGTAAACCTTATTATTTACTTTTGCAAAGTGACATTCCTCAACATCTCGGTCATTTACGCCCACGTCCCGACGGAAGAAAATACGAGAAAATTAAAGGTCTCTCATGCAGAAAACTACCGATGCTGCCTACTGCACGATATCGTGCTAGTCGTGCCAGGTAAGTGGGCAAAGTCAAATGGACTTAGCCGGCCGACTCCACCAGAAGTAAAAACTAGAAACCAAATCGTCCAGGCTGTCATAGACCAAAGTCACGTTACCAGTGTTTTAGACACGCGAATGATCTGAGGACCAATCAATGAGGCGGACGTGGTATGTAAACAAATCTTACAAGAGGCAAGATACGCACACGCCTCTGTGCCGCTAAATAAGTGCGTTCAATAAGACAGAAAAAAACTCAACGTTAAAAAGCTCTCATCATCGCAGACAGCAAGCATATTCTCACATCAGCTCTCTGACTGGCATTTCCAAGCCTTGGAACCTCATTCCTTTCCCATATCGTACCGCCCACGGAGAGCTAGTTGGATTTGTGGGGGACCAATATACGGAGCTGAAGAGAGATGCGTTAAGTATTTTCCATAATAATACGTGAGGAACAGATTGAAATGCTTACCGAAAGAAAGAACGCCCAACATTTTTTTTAGGAAGTTAGGCGACTTAGGGAAAGTTTTAAGACCAAATCGAAATAATCACGGCGATCTAGTAAATTAGATATAGGTCGATAGGGTAGATTTTTTTGCATAAGAAATCGTAAGATTTTTCTGAAATTAATGAAAATATTTTTAACCGACTTTAAAAACAGGAGGAGCTTATCAATTTGTTCCCGTGTCATCGCATAACATTGGACCACGTTAACCGATTTCTAAAATTTTTTTTTAAAGAAGTGGTCTCATGCTAATTTAGTTTAGATCCGATCATTGGGCTATGAAGAAATTAATATTATAGTTTTATACAGTCGTTTAAAGTATAAAACCGCGTATCGTCGTTCTGCAAAACCGCGTAACTGTAATTTTTTGCCAAAAATTGGATTTTCTCACCGAAGCTCTTGGCTCAAGCCTTATCCATTCACTCTGAAATATACAAGCCTTAAATGCGATTGCCTTAAAAGAGAGAGAACCATTTTGAAATCTTGATACGTGGTTTTCCACTTTAAACGACGATATTGGAATTGAAGTCGGTTTTGTTTTTTGTTTAAGAATTACTTGTTTTTTCCCAATTTTATTTTCTAACTAAAAAAACTACTGTTACATTTGTTTTTGTATATCCGGAACTGATTTTGCTTACTTTGTTTAGCAATTATCAAAATTTTTTTAATTCCAAAGTTGGTCTTTCGAATGTATTTATGGACACTGTTGGCCTTTGAGCAAAGAGCAAAAGTACTTTTGATTTTGATTAGCAGGAAATATGCATACATTTGTTTGTAGAGGTGCGTAAAAAACATCGGTGCTGTAACACAGCAGATGTGATATAACAACTTTAACTATTGCTTTTTTTTTTATTAGAATTTCCAATGCTTTTTATAATTATATTATTTTTGTTCTCATAATGAAGGATTTCTTTTGTTTATGCACTCCACATTTTCCACTCAATCTAGCCTTGACTATAAAAATTGTAAACAACACATTCAACTCCCAGCGGCACATAAACTCTAATTTTAAGTAATCTATCAACTTTCTTCGCGGTCACAGTGCACTTTTTTCGCTCACAGCTCTCACTCCACCCCCCCTTCTTTCGTTATCCACCCATCCCCCTGGCCACTTTCCACCACAAATGCTTACTTGCTATAGTCTTTCAGTGATTGGCTTACCGTGTCAAGTAAATCCAAGTACTTTGTAATGTAATAAGCATAGGAAAGATAAATTAATTTCCACATCCATGGCTCTGTGTTGGTGGGGTCAATCGGCTGACATATTAAGCTGAACTCTTTGCGTAAATACGAGTTTGGTATGCCCTATGAAGACAACAACAACAAAAAGACATTGAAAATAGCAGTAAGTAAATCAAAATCAAAAAAAAAAAGTTGACTAAATAAAAAACGGAAGCCATTAACCAAATTAAAACTTCTACCAAGTAAATAAAGTTAAAAAAAAAAGTATTCCAATCACACGTAATTACGTACTTACCCATACGAATATAATGAAATTGGCTATCACTTGTATCGCATTATATACGCGCATCACATTTTTCAAGTCGAATGCCTTCCGTTTTTCCATCCATTTGGGACCATAATGCAAAACAAAGGCTAAATAGGCAGCAATAACGCCGAAGACAGGAAATGGGGAGCCCACAAGCGGTAAATGTTGCACACGAGGATCTGCAAAGCAAAACGCAGGAATATAGAGGTTTCCCTTTATTGAAATCAAAGAATGAGGTACTCAAAAAACTATTTTTTTATTAAAGTTTAATTTCAGTTTTCTCTTCAAGTCCTTGTCTTTACATACCCCTGTGCTCCTCGAAAATGCCATGCAATAGTTGATATATATATTTTGTTATGTAAGCCATATTTTGTATAGATTTCCAGCAAATTTAATTTATTTTTGCTCTGCTCTACTCCTTTTACGGCCTCGCACTGCCACACAGGCTAGTTGTTTCTATAGGTTCCCCAGCTTTTTTGTTCAGCATAGGATCACTTTCGTGTGCGTAATGGAAATTTTCGATTCAATTATGAAGCATGGCTGGCTGGTTGTGAAATGAAGAAAGTTGTAATTGTTCGCGATTGTCAAGGTGTTCAGTGTCGCCTCAACATTGGAAATGAACCTTTGTATAAAAGAAAATAAAATTGGAATTGAACTTTCTACAAGCGTTTAATTCGTGTGGCCTCAATAGTAAATGTTGCATAATTAATTTATTTAGCATTTACAGCTCTGTCAGCATACTACTCGATTGCGCACGAGTACATACATTGTATTGCGCTTACAGTGGTGGCCGTATAATCGGAAACGCTAATAGCTTTATCAAATCAGTGGATAGTAATGCACTTGTTTATGTTTTTAAATGTAACTGAATTTTTAAACTGATACGAGTAATATAAATTTTTATTTTTAAAGCATTATTACTATGAATACATACAACGTTTACTTCACTAATCATATTTCAAAAAAAAAAAAATGACTATTAACGACTCGATATGATTCGAATACGTTTTATGTATAGATCACACCCAAGCTTATCCAGAGCAAAGTAAAAATAAGGTAAACTACACTCAACTTTTTTTTCAAGGCGTAAGGTCTGATTATGGCAACTTAACGTAACATAGAGGCTGTCACTTAAAAATTCTCTTAACTGGATATTGCTTATATTTGGACATGCGAAACTTAACGTAACTTAATGCGACAACAAAGTCTGTTTCATTTTGATTTTCTAGGTTCTAAGTCATGTTAAGTTAAGTTGCCATAATCAGACCTTTAGGCATTCAGAAATTATGTCACACTCTGAAAAACGGATTTTCTTTTAAACTATAAACAGAACCAAATCACTTTTTCTGAAGAAAGTTCGCTGTTAAAATGAATGAAAACACACTGCAGTAGATGTATGAGATTGTACAATTCGGAAGTAACAACGAAATTCGCCTAACGAAATTCGGCGAGAATATATATTGAATTTTAATTTGTCGCCGATCACAAAAGCCCTTTTTCACTTGTCTAGCATATAATTATTAGGAAGAAGCTGAATGTGAAAATTTGGGGACTCATCTTCTCGCTTTTAATTTTTATATTTTTTATTTGTCATTCAGCTGATGCGAATTTCATTTCGGTTCTGGTTTACTGTGCAAAATGTTGCAACGAATATCATCCAACGGCATCGCTGCGTCCATCAAAATTCACTCAGCGATTTAGTTCTGTTTGTTTACCTTTATGTTTAATATTTATATGCGTAGGTCGTTAATCGTTTGGAAATTTTTTATGAATTTATAAAATTTTTAAAGAAATAGTCAGTGAATTATAAAAACTGGGTTAGGTTTGAGTGGCTTTCCCTCCCTTAGTAATTGAACCACCGAGTGCATTTTATATAGCACAAAAAGTCGAGGCCGTTCGCCGAATTCAAAACGGCTAAAGAATCTAGAAAGTACTTGTTGAAGAATTGGTTGCTCGTGTTCGCCAAGGGCAGAGATAGTGTTCGACAGTCTCCACCTCTTCCTCGTCTTTGCAACAGCAACAGAAATCGTTGGTGGGGTATCCTAACGTTTTTCAGTATATGCCCATTAGGCAGTGTTCGGTGATTACTCCGACTGCTAATCTGAGAGAGGAGCGCTCCAGCCGGGTAAGGGCTATGGATCGCCTTACATCAATCTTTGTCGAAATTTGCCTGGTATTATGGCGAGGGGTTTCCACGGTTTCCACAGCCCACCTGATATCTACCTCCTCGACGAGACCCGTCTTTAGTCTGTGTTTGCAGGAAGTTAGAGGTATGCCCGAATTCTGAGCATTTTAGTCGTCTACTAAATAGCACCGATCCAACGGAAAAGGGCAATACATTTTTCGACAGCAAATCTGAAATTAGAACGGAAAAAAATTTCGTGCAGCGTTGACATTAAGGGGCCATTCCAACGTCCCTCGTTGCTGTGTTTCCGGACATAAATAGCAAAAAGAATAAAATGGAAGAGATGACGAGATGGCCAATAAACGAGGTGGTAATTATATTTATAATGATTACATTTGTAAAACAAGTAAATACTGTGTAGCCATTAGAAAGGATCCATTAACTAAAAAATATGACTGTGAAACTATCGTGGCTACGGTAAAATAGAAAAAAAGAAAACGGAATATTTTCTGAAACTTCGCAGATCTTCGCTTAATATTCATACTGACTTCGTCATAGGACTCCTGGCTGTTTCACCACTGCTCGAGAATACCAATTATTTCTCTCTGCAGAAGCTGCTGATATGTAAATTAGCATGATAAAATTTAGCTATACAACATATACATCTCTTAACTCTTACTGAAGGGATTTTTGTCCCTCAATTTGAAATAGTTCCATCTGAGTTTAATTAAAAATATTTTAGACAATTTTAGAGTTAAAAGAATAACAGAAATGCTAATCAAAGAATTTTCTATCGAATTGAGCTAAGCTAAAAAAAACGTACACCACGAGAAGCTAACCGCCTAATTTATTTTTTTTTTGGAAGTCCGTTGAATAAATTAATAACTTTTCAGCATTTGAAATTTGAGCTGAAGTTGCAAACTCTTATATTTTACATTTTCATATATGTGATGGGCACCTTAATGTACAGTTTAATGAAAATAAGTAGCAGATGAACATACGTACATTATTGTTAAAAAAAAAAAAAAAATTAACATCAGTGTCACTATGTGTTTCATAAGGGCAAGTATTTCCAGGTGAAACCTTAATGCTGACAGTAGACGACCGTTGAGGCAACGTGTTGTTTAATACACACAGCAAGCAGCAAGCGTACGTAGATGTAACCATTGCGGCAACCTCAGTAGTGTGTGATATTGTATGAAGTGGGCATACGGAAGAAAACGTTTTTTACTTATGCCAAAATGCCTTTTCTCCAAAAATTTTTCCAATAAAAGTAACTCACAACGATACAAACGAGGCAACCGATACGGCGAGGCCAATTCATACAAGTGGTGTTAGCGGAGCAGCTGATTTCAAGGCGAATCGCGCTGATTGTCAAAATGATATATTTGTTGTAAATTTTTTTCTTTGTGATTGTCATCATGCGTATAGTATGTTAGTGTCACGATACGGCAACCAACACAAAATATCAAAATAACGGTTGCGGAAACACGATTTTTTTTTAGCAACAATGCTGCACACCATGTCATAGTTGCTTCAACGGATGCCGCGTGTGTATTCAGAATTATATTGTTTACATGTTTACATTTGTTTTTTACTTTTTAGACAATTAGGCATTCGCGCTAGGTTGAATGCATTACTTTAACAACAAGTACTAAGCTTTAGAAATAATATTAATTAGAAATAATATTAATTTAAATTGGACATTTTCATCAGCAATACATATCTTGTTTAATATCTAATAATACTAAATATCGTCGCACGAATAAAGAAACAGTGTAAATGCCACATACACTTTTATTCGATAATTGCACCATTGTATAGACAATCCTTTAATCTATTAGATAAATCTTTAGTTTTCTTAAATATCTCTTTGGCTCACTAATTTATTCCCGAAAAACTAAATTGTATTTGTATGGTTTGTAATGGTTTATAAAAACTTCCAATTCGTTTTTCTCAAAACTATACTTTTCATGTAACACTATTTCATTATTCCAGCGACGATATAACAAACAAAAATAAAAATTTATCAAACTTCACATCAACAGTCAATATCTCTAAAATAAGGAAATATTTTTTGTTAAAAATCTACAGCTAAATATGTATGTATTTACAAATTGAAAGACAACAGAAGCAGAGCTTAATTTTTTGTATTTTTGTTTTTTTGTTTTTCTTATAACGCTCATTATTCACTTTTTTACGTTAGCTGTAATTTTTACATTTCATTTATTCCGTGCTGCATTCATACAAATTCACGAGTTACTGAACCTTTTACGCATTACTTGTTTTTTACCTCACTAGGCTATTGACGTGGAGAATTAAAAGCTTCGCCGACCTATGTAAATTCATACGGAATTTCTATTAGCATATTAAGAGATACACTGTGGAAAATAATTTCAAATTCAGCGGCAATTATTTAGGTTCACTCAACAACAATTCATACATACTCGCATATGCTATGTTTGAAGAGCTTAGTGTGAGTGCTTTAAAAGTATGTATAAATGTACATTAGCCCTATGATTTTTTTCCAAAAATTTTATAAAGTTTTTAACAATCACACTACTTTTTGCCCATATAATACCCCAAATAAGAAAAAAACAGCAAATACAATTTCCACATATATGAAAAAACAACAAAGAAAAGCTCCACATATTAGAAAAAACACAAAAATAATTATTTTTCCGATTCTTTCGCTATAAGCTCCGGATGATTTGTGATATATATAATACAATTTAGATATCAGGTTACAGTTTGTAAATTAGCTTTACGGAAGCTTCATGGAACTTGTTTTCGAAGAGGGTTGCTTGAAATTTAAAACTTTTTGAACACTTTGGTACTTATCATAGTTTCTGTGATTATTTTGGCACTTAGCAATTTTACGTATCGATGCATAGAAATGGTTTAAATTAAAATAGGTAGTCCGATCTTTTAGAAAACGATGCGTTTTTAATCATTTTTCCTTCATCCATCAAAATATATATTTTTTTTAAGAAAATGAGGACTTTTTCTCTAGCACTCGTAGTTCGCGGTATGTCGTTTTAAAAAGTAAAATAAAATAGTTTTGTAAAAGTAGCACATTCGCTGCTTTTTAACTGGAAGGGATCTAGCTAATATTGGACTGGTTCATTTTTGGCGATAAATATTTAGTAATTAAATAGAAATTTGGATCACTAATACCTTGCAGGGACATGCTTGCCTACATATGAGCATAAATGTATGTGACGATTTGTTAGTAATTGTTAAAAAGTATATGTATCTACATTGTTGCTTAAGTACCTAATACGGTGTTTACATGAGGCGCTTTTACAGGCAACTTTTAGTTGAAAGCAACAATCGCCTGGTGTGAATGGCCTTTAAACTAATCGCTTCCGATGAAGTTGGGCTGCAAACAACTTTTGTTGCAACTAATCGCCTCTAAAGTTGCCTGGAAAATTGTCTCATGTGAACGACGTTTAAGAAACATTCCCTTTCATATGAATTTCCAAGCAAGAATAAAATGCAAATTAGTTTTGTAATTTTTGATTCTGTTGCGATAAACAGTTCATTAGTCGAACTAGAGAATGTACACAAAGTGTGTTCTCAGAAGAGCGCAACTTCTTTACTCCTATGTTTATGGATTAGGGTGCTCTAAAAATGCATGTGAAAAAGAAAAGGTCGCATTTTTTATGCTCTCACCCCTTAGGATTGTTCTATACCCCAAAAAAACAATATACTCTTATTTTTTTATTTTGAATTAAAAAATATTTCGAGGTCACTCAATGCGCTCCGAGTTTTCCTTGTATATTATATGGGGAAAAATGGTTAGATACACAATTTGGTATTGTTATTTGAAGTCTCCTGCAGAGAACCGGAGTTTTCCGATCGAAAAATATAGGTTTTCAAGAATTCCATGCCATGTGTGCGAGAAGTTGTTTTTTCCCATATAAAATACATAGAAAACTTTGAGCGCTTTGAGCGACCTATAAATATTTCAAACTAAAAAAATTTGCGGTATATTTTTTCGATATAGAACAATCCTAAGGGGTGAAAGCATTAAAATTCCGACTTTACTTATTTGGGATCACCCTAATGTGGATATATACATAGGTATGTAGTAGTGTTAGGCAGTTTCGATACCAAAAGTACTCAGAACTCGATTCACAAAAGGATCGACAGAACCCGATTTTTAAAAAGTATTGAAGATACTGATTACTCCAAGGTACTCAGTGATCACAAAAAAAAAAAATCGAACGTACCCAGAACTTAAAAGAACTTGAAAGTACTCACTACTTAAAAATACTCTGTTCCAATCATCACTTTGATGCATGCACTCAGATTCGATTCAAAATACTCAGTATTAAGTGACGAATGGAGACTTAAAAGTACTGAGTTTTATTCAGACTTACAGATTCTTTGTACAAAGATTTTGTCTGAGAGGACCCCTAGGGAAATTTTAGGGCAAATTATTTTCTAGAAGATTTATTCGGACTTTCTAAAAATAGGGTCAAAGCGACCCTTTTGTGAGGGATATAACGGGTTAAAATGTTCTATAAAATTATTCCTCGTAAAATTTTACTATATGGTTCGAAACAACATATTTCTCTCCGATATGTCTCTTTTTTTAATTTATTCTAAAGACACTTAGCCAAAATATTGCAAATTTAAAATGGTCATAGCAAAGAAATTTGACCAAAGAATGCAAAACGATTTTGAGGTTTTACTACATGGATCTTGGTATTTCATCCAGAGTTGGAATCATTCCGCCCCAGACAATGACTCTCAAATTGTTGCACAGAACTGATGAAAATTTTATAAATAAAACTTGATTTTGAAATCAGGTCTGATGAGCTTCACAAAAAATGTCTACCCTTCTGTTACAGTAAGAAAACTTTACACTTAATATATTAAGGTCAATTCCCTTAATTCGAGTTGAATTTGACTTGTTAAAGAGGCGGCTACCCTCCTACTTGAAGTTTTAAAATAAAACCTTTTCAGAACAATTTCGAAAAAATGCATTTATTATAAAATTATACTTTTTTAGAATTTAAATCGCTGTGAGCCTTTTTACAATTTTTTTTATTAATCTTAAGGACCGGCCACACAGAAAGCGGTCTGTCGCGCTGGGAAGCGATCCAGCGGTTGTCGCGGCGGGACGTTACACAGAACGCGATATTTTTGTGTGAGCGGTAACTGTTTTTCTCCAGAGATTATATACGTGTATAGTATGTTTTCATATTAGTTTTTATTTGATATTGTTTAATATTTATGAACCAGTGAGATATGTACGATTTCCCGAAGAATTTTTGGCGCTTGCATACGGACTCAGAATTTTTTTAACATGTGAGGTTTTTTAGATATCCTAAACTAAAAACGCAAGCGCAAAAATAGTATTTTTCGTATACTTTGATATATACTTATAAACTTTTAAATACTTATTTGAAGAAATGTGTTTACGGTTCTACATAACCGTAAATGTGTAAAAAAAACTTTTTTTCGCACTTTTAGATTAGGTTATCTCAAAAATCTGACATAGATTCGGATACAACGTCTAAAATTCTACAAGAAATCACATACCACAAGATATATTTTCATTTTGAATTGAAGCTAACACACACAAAATCTGTCATTTTTTACAGACGGATTACTCGTCGTCGCGACAAAGACTAGCGGGAGGCGGTAGACCGCATTCAGTGTGACAGAGATGGTACAAAACTGAATAATACAACTATATCGCCTGACCGCTTCGGTCGGATATCACTTTCTGCCGCGACATACCGCTTTCTGTGTGGACGGGTCTTTAAACTTAGTGTCCCACAGTCATAGTCGTAAGTTAAAGCTCATTATTGTTAAAACAAAGTTTTAAGTTTAGAATAGATTTTTAAGTTGTGTCAATCATAGGCATCTTATAAACAGCTTTTTTATAAGATAAGAGAAAAGAGCTATCCATATGAAGAGAAAAAATTTACTCGGCAATATAAAGAAATATGAGTACTTTAATTAGTCCACCCTGTCTACCCTGTAGGTTGGCGGATTTAGCAAGCCGGGAAGACGTGGGTTCAAATCCCACTTTTTTTTTTGTTCTTTTAATTATTATTTAATTTTTAAATGTAATTATATTTGTTGTGATCCTTTTAATTAAAATTTAATTCCAAAAAAATTGATTAACTTGAAATAATTATGTGAAATGCCATAAACAAAAAAAGATAATAAAATAAAATTTAATAAAATGAAGTAATGTTAATATTAAAAAATATATATAATAAAAAAACTGGAATCGCTCGGAGTGGGGACCGAACCTGGGTGCTATTGCATTTACCACTTCAACAACAAAACAAAACATATAACCTTATTTTACCATTTTAAAATTAAAATTCTGTTTTTTGCCATTAAATGCATTTTAAGTTGACTTTGACGGAGTTAAAATGGTTATTACAATAAAGCACAATTTTAATCGTGAGAACCTTTTTCTGACTTCTCTATGATTACGGGCCAGTATTTTTACATACAAAAACAAATCGGCACTGTTTTTCCATCGGAATTGTCTTCTGTATTTAAAGGCTAGTTTCTTATATATAATCCTAGTTTTTATTTTTTGTAATCACACCAGATGATATCAACGGAATCAAAAAATTAGACTTTTAAGTAAATCTTAATATTTTCCTGAAATATTTTCGCAAAGGTTTGTAAATATAATATTTACACGCAACTGTTTTGTGAGGTTTTGACTACGCCAAGTTTTTACTTGTTTACTGAAAACGGTTTCGTCTATATATTTTATTAGTTTAATTTAAATAGCTTATAAATAAATGAACTTCACTTGCTTTACAAGTTAATAATTTTTTGAGTTTATAGTTTGTGTAATACCAAACTCGAATAAGTTTTCATTCATATTTCTTAATTATATACTAAGTATACATGTGTGCATATCGCTAGTTTTGTTTTTAGTCTCATTGATATTCCGCTCGCAAATCACGACCAGCACTCTCCAACATTTGTTTGCTTAATTGGGCATAAATCAAAAAGTTCCAGTCAATCTAGAAACTAACACTCAAAGTGTGTATAAGTACTGCTTAGCTCTTTTGTTAGTGTACTTTAGCTACATTCAACGTACTCGAGGAGCCACTAGAAGAAACACCTGCAACAGAGTGGCAAACTGCTGAATGAAGCTGCTGCTGTTGTTTGCTGTTTCTCATCGTTTTCTTTTCGCTTTGTTTGCGCACATAAGTTTTGTAGTAAAAATCGCAGAAGAGTATGAGCATAAAGAAATTTTGCAGGAATGCTACCCATATCCAAAACAAGTCCAGACCACACCAATTATTCAGTATTGGCAGGGATAATTGAATAGTTAATGAGCAGAATTGCAATATCTGCAGCAGTGTGAGTGTTCGCTTCCATGGCGTTATGTCCGCTTTCCACTTCATGGTGGCCATCAAATAATAACTGTACATACAGACGTGTATGAAGGAATTGATGATGCCGGTGAAGGTGAAGTGTGCAGCTGAAGCCAAGAAAGAAAATAGTTTTTCAAGTCTTTTTTTAGAGAATTTTGCATTTTTAAAACTTACCAAAACTTAGAGTGCAATAAACCCAAACGGCGAACACCATAATTGTGTGATGATACACATGGAGGAATGTAATTTGTTTGTTCTTTTTTCGAAGCAAGAAAAATAACTGCAAGTTAAAATACAAGTTTAGCATTGAAAATGTGAGTTAAATTCCTTATAGTTAGTTCACAACTCACTGTGTCCAATAGATCCATGTATTTGGATATGTAATAAAGATATGCAGGTATGAGCAAGGCCATCATTTCAGGGCTCGTATCCTTTGGGTCATATCGTTGGCAGGAGAGATTAAAGTACGGTTTCAGATATGAAGCACGAAGAGACTAGAAGTAGAAGTAAAATTAGTATATTTAGAATTCTTCAAACTGTCACTTTTATGATAATTTTTTTTTGTTGAATTTGAAAATTTATCGCAAATATTAAACTTACCGCCGTAAATATGTATGCATTAAGCGCCACCTGAATAAGATTATATATCTGTATTAAGGGCTTTACATTAAATGGCTTTCTGTCTTCCATAAATTTAGGTCCCCACTTCATTACGATGAACAGGTAGAATGCTAAAACCGCAAACATTGGCCATGGCGGACCCAGTAGGGGCAATGAAGAAGTGCGAAGATCTAAAATAAAAAAATAAATTTTTGTGATGGCTATTTTTTGACCTGATAACAAATTATATTTCAAAAATTTTATTGTGCATAAGGCCGTTTTTAAGTAAAAGTTTTGTCGAAAAACAACAATAATTTACATGAGGTAGAAGTTATGGCTGATATTTCGGTGATCAACATATCTCCTCATCAGACTTCTTCACTAGGACTCGAACCAGCGACTCCGGCTATACAGTGGTCCGGCAGAGCCAGTGGTCTACGACGTGTAAACTATTGTCGTTTTTAGACAAAACTTTTCATTGCAAACGGTCTCAAGCGCAATAAAAAATCATAAAAAAGATTGAAGTAGGATAAAAAAAATAGTTATAAACCCCTCCAAATATTTTGTTACACTAATTTGGATCAAAACAAATAATTTTGTGAAGAGAACTTTTAATTGAAGTTATACATGTAAACCGCGTAGATCTATAATGGAGCCGGTACCTATGAACGGATGGCTAACAACCTTTTGCATATTAAAGCTGTAGGGTAAACGTAAACTTCAGCTGATGTGTAAAGGAACGCAAACTTGGTACTGTCGTTCACCGTGTGGACGAGCATCTCGCCACAATTTGCTTTAAAGCGAGGCTCTCTAAGAATTCTTTCATTTGCTCTCACTCCACGGTAGAAGAGATGGGCAAACGCAGCTCATAGCATTTCTGTTGGCTTTATTAAAATTCTAATTGACAAACTCTCCCAGCAAAGGTTTGTGCGCTGGGTTTGGGACCCGCCACGTGAAAACCACTTCCAGGGAAGAACCAATACGAAGCCTCGGACTACGGTTTTGATGGCGTGCACCTGGAATATCCGGATCTTTAATGGGAAAGTTGCCTCTGTTCGGCTGGTTGATATTCTGATAAAAAAAGCAAAAGCTGACATCACCCCATTCAAGAAATCCGTTGGAGGGAGCGCAAATTCGGTGTTGGATTTGTGGTTTCAGAGAGACTCCGTCGCCAAGTACTGTCTTTCACCCCGGTGGACGAACGTGTCTGCATCAAAGCGAGATTCTTCAACATCTCGCTCATCTGTGCTAATGCGCCGAAGGAAAGAAGGACAAGGCGTTCAAGGCTTGGGGCGCACACACGAGCGTTGCCCTGCCATAATATCCAAATCGTGCTTATCGAATTCAATGACCGCGTAGACCAGGAAGGGATCTTTGAAACCACCGTGGAAAAATTCAGCCTCCACAACTAACGTCCGATCACCGACTGAGGCTGATGGACTTCGCCGGGGCCGGAAACATGGTGATATATTACTAGGTTCAAGCATAAAAATGCATCAAGCTACGTGGCTGTCCCCAGAACAAAAATTAAGAAACCAAATTGATCATGTTGGGATAGACGGAAGGCACGCTCCAGTATTTTAGACGTACATACACTCCGAGGTCCAAACATCGACTCGGACCAATATAATGTTGCAGTCAAGATACCCACCAACCTCTGTGTAGCAAAAAATGTGTGACCAAAAATGCAAGGAAAGCTCAACGTCAAATAACTGCAGTCAAAAGAGATGGCCAGAGCATTCTTTACACGACCCTCACAGCTGCTCACAGAGAGCACTCTTCACACAAAATTTCTCGCTCACTACGTAGTAATGAAGAAGTAGTTGCCTTTCAGCGAGCACGAAAGAACAACTAATACAATGAGAAGTGTCAAGAAGCTGAAGAGAAAAAAGATGCCGCCTACAGGGCCACGTTGCGGTCGGCCGAAAGGCGAGCTTTGTAGGGCCGCTAAAGGGCACTGAAGAAGGAAGCGAGAAGAAAAGAGAGTCCAGAAAAATGTGAGTGCGAAGAGCCTGAGATGCTGGTCGACAGGAAAAACTACTGAAAATTTTCTCAGCTGGGCGACTTATGGGAGGTTTTAAGACCAAACCAAGGCTAACTCCTGTAAGAACAACAATAGCAATCTAGAGACCGCCGTCCAGAACGTGCTTAAATTATGGAGGAAAGAATTTTCCACCCTATTAAATGGGAACAATGGGAATTTATGTATGTTCTGTCTAATCCACAACAAAGCCGATACCGCCGTACGCGCCAACTACCGCGGGATTAGCCTTCTAAGCATAGGTTTAAAGGCCTTGTCGATTGTATTGTGTGAAGCCACCGCCAACGAACATACCGGGCCTTATCAGTGCGGATTTAGACCAGGCAAATCCACCATAGACCAAGTAAACTCAATACGCCAAATCTTGGAAAAGATCCGCGAGAATATGATCTACACTCACCATCTGGTCTGGGTCTGGTGACCCCGCGAAACTGATACGGCTTTGTAAAATGACGTTGACAAAACCAACAGCTCCGTCAGAATTGGAGAAGGACCTTCGAAGCCGTTTTCTACCAAACATTGTTTCATGTGATTTCTTCAACCTGATGTTGGAGAAGATAATACGAGCTGCAGAACTGAACCGGTCAGGAACAATTTTCTACAAGAGCGTGGAATTGCTAGCGTACGCCGATGACATCGAAATCATCGGTAACAAGCACCGCGAAGTCATTTCTGCCTTCTCCAAGTTGGATAAATAAGCAAAGCGATTGAGTCTGGTGGTCAACGGGGATAAGACGAAATATCCCCTGTCACCAAACATTAAAGACATAAGCGTACAAAATACACAAAAACTTTCAAGATAATTAAATTATAAATAAAATTAAATTAAATTAAAACTTGTGTTACCCACCCCTACTGAATGCAACATCTGCCTTGCGTATTTCCTTGT